AATGGAATTATCAGAACAACACCTTAACCAGGCCCTTTCACAACTAAGACAGGTGCCAAGCTTTGACGGATAAACGGAAAATCTAAACGCCTTCATTAAAAGGATCGATTACATCCTACACCTTTATCCAACCCGAGATGTTAGACAACACAGCATCTTATACGGAGCCATCGAATTGCAAGTCACAGGAGATACTCAGAGAATTTCACAAAGGACAGCAGCCAACACTTGGCAGGAGCTGAGAAACGAATTGATTGAAGAATACAAAGTGCAGACACCATTTGAAGAACTCCTTCGACGCTTATACAACACGAATTACCAAGGAAACGTCCGTAAGTTCATCGAGGATCTCGAAAATAAATCTTTTGTTATATTAAATAAGTTAGCATTAGAAAATATACCTAGCACAAAAACTAAAGCAAGTAGTTCAAAGAGAGGGATTATTTGAAAATAGCGTTACTGAAAAACCTAAAAATAATAATGTTCGGGGAAATCAAAATAACAATCGTAGGAACATAGGAAATTATCAGCAAACTGCTAACCCAACCACCAGTTCAAGTGGTTTTTCCAACACGAATCAGAGTTATCACGCACAAAATAAACAGCACAATAAGTCCGAAGATAATCAGAAAGCTCACCACGAGTTCCAACAGAAATTAAGTCAAGGTAGATCCCAAAATCTTTTAACTATCAAAGTCAGTCCCATTCACGCTTGAATGCGCCAAACCCTCCGACTAAACGTCAAAGAGATAGTAACAGTGGGCAGATGAAAATGGATACATCCGAAAATTTTCATCAGCAAGCCTCGGAACAAACAGAAGAAATCCATTCATAAAATTGATTATGAATGACGAAGTTCTAAAATGTGTCATTGACACAGGTTCACCCATAAATCTAATAAAAACAAACCGCTTAAATTTTGCAGTTTACAACGAAACATTAAGGGTTCACACCATAAATGGTGTTATTGAATTAAAACAAAGTATACGATTAGGAGCAAGCAAAATTTGTCCGAGCAAACAAAAATTCTATATTCACGACTTCTCAGAGCATTATTGGGAGAGAATACCTTGAAGCATGTCAAGCAAAAATAGACTATGCACAAGCATCCGTAACCTTAGAATTTAACTTTTGTTTTAGATATAATGACGAAGAGGTCGAAGAGGACATGACCGCACAAGAGTGCCTTGATCCACCCTCAACACCCTAGAGCACCTAAACTCAGAAGAAAAAGAAAAAATTAAAAAAGTTTTACATGAATTTCGTGAAATCCAGTACCATGAAGGTGACAATTTGACTTTCACTAGTACAATTAAACACAAAATTCTAACAAAACATGAGGACCCAATTTACAAGCGTCCATACAAATTATTTTCTCCACTTCATTGGAGGAACACATTTTGTCGCTACACAAGGTATTTAAGAAGCTTAGAGAAGCTAACTTAAAACTACAGTTGGATAAATGCGAGTTTATGAGAAAAGAAACTGAATTTCTCGGTCACAACATCACAACTGAGGGTATAAAACCAAATCCCAACAAGATACAAGCAATTGTCAAATTCCCAATCCCAAAAGAAATTAAATCATTTCTAGGATTATGTGGTTTCTATAGGAAATTTATACCAAATTTCGCTAATATAGTAAAGCCATTAACACTTAAATTAAAAAGGGAGCAAAAATCAATATAAATGACAGAGACTACAAACTAGCGTTTGAAAAGCTAAAAGTACTCATAACATCCGACCCAATGTTAATATATCCAAACTTCGAAAAACCATTTTCATTAACTACAGACGCGAGTAATATGGCAATAGGTGCCGTCCTTTCGCAAGAGCATAAGCCTATATGCTATGCAAGTAGAACTCTCAACGAGCATGAGTTAAATTATTCAACGATTGAAAAAGAATTATTAGCAATCGCTTGGGCCACTAAATACTTTAGGTCCTATCTCTTTGGTCGACAATTTCAAATCCGAGTGGTCTACTCGTCTGGTTAAATAACATGAAAGAACCTAACATGAAATTACAAAGTAGGAAAATCAAGCTTAATGAGTTTGATTTCCAAATTAAATACGTCCCACGAAAAGAAAATTATGTTGCAGATGCTCTGTCCAGAATTCAATTAAACGAAAACTTCTAAGGCGAAGATACAATTAGCACAAGAGCAACAATACATAGTGCTCAAGAAGACAACAGTAACCATTTACAAATCACAGAAAGACCTCTTAATTATTATAATCGACAAATAGATTTTGAAAAAGGAACCGAGAACGAAACAAAAGTCACTATTTCCCAGATTATCAAAATTTAATTCAAAATCTAATAAATGAATGTGAGACTTGCAACATCGCAAAAACAGAACACAGGGATACAAAATTAACTTTCAAAATAACTCCGGAAACCGCTTATAAATATGTAATGAATTTTTACATAGTAGGAGATAAACAATTTTTATCTTGCATTGATATCTATTCAAAATTTGCATCATTAATAGAAATAAAAAGTAGAGACTGGTTAGAAACCAAACGAGCTATATTACAAGTGTTCAACCAAATGGGTAAACCTATCGAAATAAAAGCAGACAAAGACTCAGCTTTTATGTGCACATCTTTACAATTATGGCTAAAATCAGAAGCAGTAAATATTAATATAAAAACTAGTAAAAATGGTATATCCGACGTAGAACGATTTCATAAGACAGTTAACGAAAAATTAAGAATCATTAACAGCGACTCAGACGTCGAAAATAAACTTACAAAATTTGAAACTATACTCTACTCGTACAATCATAAAACTAAGCACAAAACGACTAACAGAACACCAGCGGACATATTCATATACACAGGTACACCAGAGTATGACACTCAAGCTAATAAAGAAAAACTAATAAATAACCTCAACAAAAAACGAACATTTATGAAATTGACACTAGATGCAAACATTTACCATTAGTTAAATCAAAGACGACAACCCCATTCAAGAAAACAGGAGAACTAAGACAAATCGACGACAAACATTTTGAGGAAACAAACAGAGGCAGGAAGATAACACATTACAAAACCAAATTCAAAAAGAAAAAGAAGACTAATCAAAGCAAATATAACAATTACAGGTCAACAACAGACAGCGATCAAAACATACAAGCACCAGCTTAAACAAATTATTATAATATTACTATCAATAATTGTAAACCATATAAATGCACAACGCATTGAAATTAATCCTATCAAAGCCCATAACGGCTATCTCATATTTAAAACAGGAACCATAGACATTCCGACAGATTACGAATTCCATTATTTAACGGTTAATATAACAAAAACCGAAGAAACTTTTAACAATTTAATGAAACAAAGTAAAGAATGCAATAACCTTATACAAATCGAATACCTAGTAGAAAAATTAAACAGAGAAATAAACGGTTCAAAAATAGCCAAACGCAGCAAAAGAGGCTTAGTTAACATAGTAGGAACAGTATATAAATACTTATTTGGAACAGATCAAGAAGACAAAACAGAAATTGAACAAAAAATAAGCAACTTAGCAAAAAACAGCGTTCAGGTTAACGAATTAAATTACATAATAGAAGCTATAAACAAAGGAATAGAAATCATGAACGAGCTAGATCAAGAGAAACAAAAAGGAAAGAAATTTGATATCCTTATATTTAACTTACAACACTTTACAGAATATATAGAAGACATTGAGATGGGAATGCAGCTCACAACATTAGGCATTTTTAACCCAAAATTACTAAAACATGACTATTTGTTGCATGTTAATTCTGAGAAATTGTTGAATACAAAAACTTCCACTTGGTTTAAATCAGATACAAACGAAATACTGATAGTATCCCATATTCCTCGAGAAGTAATAAAAAGCCCGGTATTCGAAATAATTCCAGACCCGGATAATAATAATAACATATTGACAGAAATAGCTCATGAAAAATATTTTACCCAAGACAAAAAAGTTTATACTTAGCAAAGAAACAAAAAAATTAATTAATAATGAATGTTTGACAGGAATTTTAAACCAAATAACATCAGAATGTAGTTATACTAAAATTTTGCAAAATTTTCAAATCAACTACGTATAATTTTAACTTGGAATTTACCAAAAACTATATTAAATATACAATTGTATAAATAACGAAATAACAATAGAAGGAAACAATATAATAAAAATCTTTAATTGTTCACTGCAAATTAATGAAATTTCAATTTCAAACAATATGTTAGATTATACTCAAAGCATTTACGTAAGCAATGATGTTATAAAATTAGAACCACTTTCGTTTGTACAAACGAAACAAATTATAAATGAACATACAAAATTTAACAATGTATCCCAGATAATTACAATAACCATATTTGTAATCATATTAATAAGTTTAACACTGTATTTGACACATAAGTTCTAAAGCATACCTAAAAAATTAATTATAAAATATAAAAAACACAAAGTAGAAGAAACACCTACAATATAGGAGATACACCAATTGTAAAAGAAGAAAATGTTACAATATATCCAAACTTAAACACCTGAGGACAGGCACTTTTCTTATGGTTGGGGGAGTGACATATCCATAGCCGCACCCACCCTTTAACATAACTTAGCACATAAGCATAAGCACAAGTATAAACATTTCTAATATTGTAAACAAAGAGCCTGGTGATAACATCAACATTGGTCAAGATCAAACTGTCCCCCTTTGGTAGACATAAACAATTCACCCTAAATATCACGCCACTGTCAATGTTCCCATCTGTTGGATGGACTTCAAGTCTAACGTTAATGTATATTTTAATAGTCAATTATACATTTGCATGTGACACTCATACAACAAAATTTATTACAATAAATTTTCAAATCCATTTACCTATGGGCACATTTCGCACATGGTTTTTATTTCAATCATTTTACCTAAAATCTATGGTACACACCTCTTTTATTACGTTAAAAATCAATGTAATAAGTATGATTTATACTTCTTTTTAGAGCAACTTGATCGAATTGAGGAAGGAATGGATCAAATTAATGCTGACATGAGAGAGGCCGAAAAAAATCTAAGTGGAATGGAAAAATGTTGCGGCATTTGTGTACTACCCTGCAATAAGTAAATATTCAACATTCAAACATTGTTAATACATAACATAATATCTTGACCAATCGATTTTATGAGAGCTATATGATATTGAAATCCGATGTGGATTGACTTTCCATGTCTTGTGGGAGGAAAATGAAGTCTGATTGTTCGTTGAGTTATCTTAAAAATATTTTTTGAAACAACGAACACACTTGTAAAATCCACAAAATTTTTTTGGTTTCTTAATATATTTTATTTCACAACTTTTACATTTAACTCTTAAGGTCCACTCCGCTCAACCGCTCAAACCTACGCCATGATCTACAAACATATAAACATATGTTTGAGTTGGGTTGATGTGCGCACAAGTAGATCAAAGTATTTGTCGCAATACTTCAATTGTGTGCCCTTTGTGCCTGTGGTAGCAATGGGCCCACACAATCAAATGCGCTGTCATGTTTATCTTCGTTCAGTCAGGCAAAATGAAAATAATTATATTTATATTTATTTTATAGACATTAAATTGACCTAAATTAAATATTTATAATTATTTTATGTTTATTGTGGGGACCTATTGTGCTTACAATACAAAAATATCTAAGTCGTATCTCTTCACCGTCGGAGTTTTCAAGAGCTCTAAAAAAAGACTAAAAATTGAAAGTTTTCAATTTTGGCGACTTGCTGCTTATGTACACGCACACTCTTTTAATTGATCAGTTGTGTGATATTATTAAAGAGCTTAGCCTGTTCATGGGCAAAATTGCTATTTATATTGAAAGGGTACCTAATCGTTGGCATTTGTGCATAACTTTTTGAGCCGGCCAAGCAAGCACAGAGAGCAGAGAGCAACTAGCAGGTACACAAACGCATTAGTGCTTCCATCCATATAGAAAAGTGAGTAAGTTTGTTTGCTTGGCAGACCCGAACAGTTTTCTTACACATACGCAACGTTTAAGTACCCTTATTAACAACAAAAATGGAAAATAGCAATTTTGACCATGAATAGGCCAACCCCTTTAATAATATCGTGTGCACAATCAGCAAGTCGCAAGAATTTAACATTTTTCAATTTATGGCATTTTCTCAAAATTCTTTGACAATCTGACGATGATTACCCTTGCAGAAATGCGACTTCATTTTTTTATACCCTGAACCCATTAAAAATGGGCAAAAAGGAAATATTGTATTTGGCCAAAATGTAAATGCATGTAACAGGTAGAAGAAAGCATCTTCGACCTAATAAAGTATATATATTCTTGATCAGCATCAATAGCTGTCTGTCCAAGGATATCAGAACCTATAAGAGCTAAAGACTTGAAACTTTAGCTGTAGGTCCTCCTAGTGCCTGCGCCGATCGAGCTTGTTTCCGATAATCGATAACATACTCCGTTTCAAAGCAATGGAATAAAATCGCTATCGACATCCTGTATTGAGCAAATCGGGTAAATAATAAAAGCTAGAGTCACCAAACATGATATGTTGCTTCTATAATATTATATATATTTTAAGTATCTTTCATTTTATACCTATCGCCACCTCCCCGCTACCACCAAACAGCTACAAATCAAGTTAATAACACAAGTTTATTGCCAACCAATTTAATCCACGATTTAAATGCAATTGACTTTTTCAGAATACACAAATATTCTATGGTAGAATAAGGTATACTTAAAAAAAATTTATATGCAACTGCGCAATTAATTGGGGCAGCATCTATAAGAATTTCTGTAGACATCTACACACACACATTCAAGCGCGTCTGCTTCGCATTCTAACAGCATAGTTATTTCGACTTTTTATACCCTGAACCCATTAAAAATGGGTATAATGGTATATTGTATTTGTGCAAAATCCAAATGTATGTAACAGTCAGAAGAAAGCATCTCCGACCCCATAAAGTATATATATTCTTGATCAGCACCAATAGCCGAGTCGATCTATCCATGTCCGTCTGTCTGTCCGTCCGTCCGTCCGTCCGTATGTATGAACGCAAGGATCTCAGAACCCATAAGAGCTAGAGACTTGAAGAAGAGACTCGATAAGAATCGATATCGACATCCTGTTTTTTTTTTTAGCAAATCGGGTAAATAATAAGAGCTAGAGCCACCAAACATGATATGTTGCTTCTAAAATATTATAGATATTTCAAGTATCTTTCATTTCATACCTATCGCAACCTCCCCGCTACCACCGCAGAGCTATAAATCAAGTTAATAACCGAAATTTTATTGCCAACCAATTTAAACCACAATTTAAATGCAATTGACTTATTCAGAATACACAAATATTCTATGGTACAATAAGATATACTGTAGAAAATGTCATAAAGATCGACTAAGAAAAACCACAGTTATATGCAACTGCGCAATTGAATGGGGCAGCAGCTTTAAGAATTTCTGTATACATGTACACACACACATTCATGCGCGTCTGCTTCGCATTCTAACAGCATGGTAATTGCATCTTTTTTTTGTAATGTTATTTAAGTTCCTTTTTTATCATAAGTACTTAATTGTTGGTGCGGCTGCTGAGTAGAGGCATAGCAGGTGGTGCGGTCTGTCGCGAGTTCGAGCCCTACCAAAGACAAAAAAAACTTAGATGAGTAACGCCATACAACAAAATGCTACTATGCAGCTTGGCTTTTTGAAAATTGAGAACGAACCCGAAATCTGTAGCATTGCGCTCTCACAACCGAGAGAACGAAAAAGCTAAAAATAGAATTTGCTCTCAGCTTCGGCTCTGTGACGGCCGTGCATACATAACAGCATATTTGAATGTGTTGTTATCCACTGCTCTGGCAAAGTCTCTGGCTGGCAAAGAAACAATTTTCTTAGTTTTTTAGCGCAGATCACGACCTACCCAACATTTCTGTTGATTTATGAATGCATTTTGTGTACTGAGGTTGGCTCCGTACAAAAAAATTTGTATGTTTAAGTCGATGCGAATATATATGTATGTAATTTTTGATATATGATATTATTATTTAAATTATTATTATTTTTAAGTAATACAAAATAACTTAAGGAAATAAAAGTGCAAATTCGTTGTTTTCAAATATACATTTAATTAATTTTTATTATTTTTATTTTATTATTTTTTGTTCGAATTATTAAGAACAAAGTACGCAGGGAACACCGCGAGGAGGCCATTATAATTATAATGGAGTCATAACTAAATATGACCTTCGAGTCGACTTGAAATGTAATTGTATTTTTTAGCACTCTTTTATTTCTTAATTGGAGAATAAAAATAATATTAATTTAATTTAAAGAAATTATGTAAATATTTGCATCGACTTAGAAATACATATTTTCTGCGGAGCCAATTTCAGTACACAAAATGTTCGTAAGTTCTAAGCTTTTTCGCTCAATGTACTTCGAAAACGAAGCGACGCAAAGCAGCATCGACCAGCTTTGCTGAAGGCAGGCTGGCGACTAACTTCGTAGCTCGTGTCAGCATCAGCAAGCCGCGATTTCGGCATTCGTTCGTCTGGTCTTTGGTGAACGAGCAACCAGTCGGCAGGCATGCCGTACGAAGCCTCAAAGGCCAGATGAAAGGCCAGGCCAGAAATTTTGCGTCGCATTCAAATGTATGGGCGTTACTCATCTAAGTGTTTATATTGTCTTTGGTAAAAGGGTATTTTGTATTTGTGCAAAATGCAAATGTATGTAACAGGCACAAGGTAGCATCTCCGACCCCATACAGTATATATAGGGACTGTTCCGTCAAATTCGTCCTACAGACTGACGCGAGCGAGTACGACCTCGGCGCAGTGCTAACGCAGACGATAGAAGGGCAGGAGCGGATTATAGCGTACGCGAGCAGAAAGTTGCTGATGGCCGAATGGAATTATTCCGCCACCGAGAAAGATTGCCTGCCAATCGTTTGGTCGATACGGAAGCTGCGTTACTATCTAGAAGGCTACCGGTTCGATGTGATAGCGGACCATCTGGCGAAGACTACATTCCCTGAAAGCTATGTGTGGCCAGCGGTCAACGGTAGAGGTTATTGGCGCTATGCAATGATGCTCCCACGGTCATCAAGGCGTGAGGAAAACAGTGTCGAGGCTAGCCCAAAGGTACTACTGGCCGGGTATGTTCCGTGACGCCGCCAAGTACGTGATGTGTTGCGAAACCTGCCAAAAGTTTAAGACCAAGCAACTCAAACCGGCTGGACTCATGCTGACAAGGCAGGTGGCAGAGCCAACGGCAGTACTCTGCGCGAATTTCGTCGGACCCCTTCCACGGTCGAAACATGGCAACACCATGTTACTGGTGTTTCATGCCGCTTTCTCGATATGGGTGGAGCTGGTCCCTCTCAGGGGAGCCACGGCGGCACATCTGCAAACCGCGTTCCGGGAGTGGATTTTGAGCCGATTCGTCACGCCAACCAAGCTTTCCAAATACTGCAATACCGATTCTTTTGAAAACTCAATTCGTTCAATATTTCTGATTTACTTTTTGCTCTATAACTTCCGTTTTTCTCTGTCCTCTCTCCAGACCTCTTACTTCGTCACGCCTACCAAGCTTGCCAAATACTGCAATACCGATGCTTTTGAAAACACAATATTTCAATATTTCTGATTTACATTTTGCTCTATAACTTCCGTCTTCTCTGTCCTCTTTCCAGACCTCTTTACTTTCGTCCAAATTATAATCGTTATAGGCATAACTCATGTTATTACTTTTATCATTAATAGATTGTTCTTTCAAAAATATCTTTTTATTTTTCTATTTTCGAGACACTACTTAACAGAGAATTTTACAGCAGAATATTATATCTGACTTGACGATTTGAGTGCGTCAGTAAAACTCAAACACTAAACTGCTGTCAACACTACATAGGCAATTAGATCATTTGGTGGGAATAACGATTGTTGACCCACACTTTTACATACCTTAGCATTTAAGCATAGGTGTATAAGCATGCCAAATGCTGTAAGCCCACAGTCTGGTAATAGCATCGACGTTTGTTAAAATCAAACTGTCCCCTTCTCGTACACATTAACAATTCAACGCAGCTCAAACTTC